ATTTTAAAGCCTGGTGCTTTTCCTTCTGTTCCTTTACACTGGTGGTGTCTCTCTTCTGAGATCACTGCTGAAGTCCTGCATTGGCTGGAGGAGAAAGCTGCTCTTCTCACTCTGGAGCTGTATGGGATTTCTATAAGGCGGTGCAAATTTCTCAAAATCTTGCAGAAATGAGTCAGCTTTGCCAAATCCGTTGCAGGAGTGAGATGTTAAGAGCGGCACTGGCTGGAGGAGTGATGTCAGTAGAAATGCCACTTAGCATTTTAAATGTCAGTGGAGGGGCAGATTCCTTGATGGCCCACAGACCCATGTTGCACCCAGTGGAGGAGATCCCCTTGGAGTGACCTATGGCAAGAGTTAAAAATAAAGCTAGACTAAGCCTCCTTGATAAGCTGTCTGCAGGGAAAACCACCAGAGTGTCTACAGCCCTGCTTAAGCCCAAGAATAGCTGAAATGGAAGTATGAGGGGGGTATTTGGCAGATACGAAAAAAAACAACCAAACCGTATGTGCGAATAGTCCCAAGACTGTTTCTTAATCCAGTTTGGCCTCCAAAATGCTTTGTCGCCAGCTACTGTTGTTAGAGCATGGATGAAAGCTGATTTGGAGACTTGCAATTAATTGCACAGGAATTGCATAAGGAAAGAAAAGTTATGTGAAGGCAATCTGAGCCAGCTGGCGCCTTCAATGTCTAAAATCTTTTAACATCCAGCGTTTGAAGATGTACTGATATAGCTATGGCTGAAATTGCCTATGTGGCCTGGCAGGCTGCTGTGTTTTTTGTTAGCCAGATGTTGGTGTGTTTTCAGAGGCTGGTGTCCCCCTGGTTTTATTGTGCTATGAAGTAGTTCTTGTTTCAGATGCAAGCAAAGGTGAACTGTGATCCCATGCGAAACCCAGGCTCGGAACTGTTGTTCCCTGGAGGCCAGATGCTGCCGGGAAGACTACTGGCACCATCTGGCTCCCCTGCGAGCCAGTCTGGCATCTCCCAGCTCCACTCTCTTCCTCTACTGCCTGCCGGGATTCACCTCTGATTTGGGAAAGGAAAACGCTGGAGGAGGGAGCTCTTGAAATGGGAGAGTGTCCAGCCCACGACATATGTCACAGGGGTATCCAAAATGGAGATGGCCGTGGAGGCTAAGAGGAGCTCTCACAAGGACATGACCCTCTTGCTTCCCCTGAACGGCGCAGGCGTGAGAATGTGAGGAATGCTTTCCTGGCCTGCACTGCTGTGCTTTCTCCCAGGGATGCTGTGCGCTGCCAGACTGCAGCCATCAGCACAAGCCTTTCTGTAACCAGCAGGACGTTGGACCATCACCTTCTGTTCAGCATCACAGTTAGACCAAGACAGAGGGCCTAGACGCTGAACAAGCTGCACTGGTTTGTGTAGGGGTGGGGGCGAATGTGCTGCGGTGTCAAAAGATGCAAGGCTCTTACAGGTAACATGGACACAGGTGTTTGGAGAGAGACGCTGTTGCTGCAAGGGGAAAGCTGCAGGTGGCATTCATTCCTCATTAGACATGAGAGGTCATCAGGAAACAAGCTTCATTAGTGCTGCTGCCCATTTGGCAAATGTCAAGATGCTGTGCGGATCCATTCATCCGTTCCACCTCTCTCAGATAGTGGGAGGGACTAAGCTGATTATTAAATCTTTATTAAATGAATATATAATATAACAGCAGCTTCCTAGGCAGCAGCAGCATGTTTCTGGGGCAGTAGCCAGCTGCAGCATCCAGCAGGAGAGACTTGCAGCTGTTCCTTCCACAGCCACTGGTAGTACAAGCATACTATGATGATATGATATGAAGGTCTGACAGCTGAATCAGAGGTCTGCCTCTCATGTGCCATCAGCCCATGAGGACACTTTGGTTGATCTACTGAGACAAAAGCTGCAGGTTTTTTGCCTGTTGGTGGTTTGGCAGGTTTCAGTTACTTGTTTTTGGCATAAACTGTGGCAAAATCAAGGGTTTCCAGATCTGTGTGGAGCTATAAGTCCCAGGCGTTGGACACACAAGCTGAACTTTTCCATCAAAGTTGATGGGTTTTGACTGAATTGGACTCCCCAGGAAAGAATCCCTCCCTTTTGCAAAAAAGTTGATTTAGCCACACGAGGCGATATGCGTCTTCCTCGTCCATCCCACAGGGTCTGTTCTGATATATCCCTTAGGGTCGTGACTGCCGGAGGATTTTGGTGCGACTGTTCATTGAATGTTGCTTGCTATCTGTCCTTCCTTCTGTTGGCTCCCTCTTAAAGCCTTTGAGAAGAAGGTTTCTTTTCTTTTGCTAATTGATAATTATGAGTAACCATCCACTCTCCATGTAAACGGCTGAAAACTTTCCTGCTTGCCCCCAGGGCAGCATACCTCCAGCACCATCCTCAAGAGGCTGCTTGTGTCTGCTCCCCCTGTGACCAATACGTGTCCAACTGTTCTCCAGCATGCAGCACATCCCCCATCCTCCTGGCCAGCTGGATCCATTGCCTGGTTATCCTTAGAAATTAAGAGTCTTTCCTGCTGTCTGACCCATGGTCCCTGGCTGCAGTATAATCCTAGGATTTCTTATCCAGCCTACAGTGATGGGAGGAACGTTATTCCCTTTCTTTGCGCATCCGCCGACATATTTTGAAGCTTGTTGCCACATCTCCTCTCAACCTCTCCTAGCATATCAGACCTTTACTCTCAGGCCATGTTGTTCAAGTCTTCTCGTTACTGTCTGGACTCTTCCCTTGTGAGCAGTATCTTCCTTCTGGGTCCAGCCCAGCACTGGACAGACTGGTTGGCCTTGGGAAGGCCTCGCTGGTGCGGAGGGGAAGGACGATCCTGCATGGTGGATGCCCCTGACCATGCATTCCCCTAGCGAGTTCGCTCTTTCTGCAGCTGTCTGGTTGTGACTCGGTGATTCATTGCAACCCGCTGATACTTTGCTGCAGAGCTGTTGTCCAAATGGCCCTTCCCCACCTTGTATTTACGCAGCCGATTGCTCTTGCCTCAAGATAGCACTGTCCTTTTTGAGCTGCATCCCTTGGTTTCAGACTTCTCTCCCAGGGCATTGGGATCCTTTTGAACTTTCTGCCCACCTGACTGGGGATCAGATGATGATACGCAAACAAAGTGAAAATGGTGGGTGGAGAAGAGTTGCAATTTGCCCCAGGGGATCAGGGCCGGGATTCAAAAGGAAGGAGACATGGGGATTTTGAGGCTAGTATGGAGCTTGGAAGGACTAGGTTCTGATCCTTGCCTCTGCCACAGATCTGTGAGGTTGAGTACGTCATGGCTATGTCGGTCCCCTCTGGGCAGGGAGAGAGGGCTGTAGCGAAGTTGTGGCACTTGAGAGAGTGTGTAAGCAGGTTTACAACACGCAGATGCTGTGACAGCTTCATCTGATCCCCAGGTCTCCGTGCTAATACTTCTCTCTCTGCTGTGTTGCAGGCTCTTCCATATTCCCCACCATGGGTGACATGAAAACTCCAGATTTTGATGACCTCCTGGCAGCTTTTGATATTCCTGACATCGACACAAATGAGGCCATTCATTCCAGCCATGAGGAGGCTGACGCTCACATCAAGCAGGTCCCTGGGGAGCCGGGAGCCCCTGACCACGTTCTTCCCCACGCGGACATCACTGCTGTCAGTGTGATTGTGAAGAACACAGTCTGCCCTGAGCAGCTTGATGCCCTGGATGGGCGCAGTAAAGATGGGCATGTCATTGGGCCCCGCTTGCTGCAGAATGGCTTTGGGGCCACCGAGATGCCCAGGTCCCCCACCTCCAGGTCTGTGGAAGCTGTGGCGTCCTCCAATGGGGAGTGTTGGGTGAAAGAAAAAGGCCCCAAACCCCTGGATATCTTCTCCCATTTTAGCCCAGATCCCAATGAAGACAACACTGCCAACCTGATTGACAGACCGCGGGAGTGTAAGCCAAAAGACAAATCCCTCTCGGTGCCCTCCCTCTCCCCATCTCCCACCCCATCGCTGGACTGCAAAGAGCCCATGGGAGACAACACAGAGAGCATGCCCCCAGCTTTCCCACAGCCCTTCGAAACCAGCCAGCCAGGGGATACAAACAACTCCCCTCCTACTGTTCCCTGCATCAAGAAAGAGGAGTCTGACTCGGAAGAGGTGGGCCGTGAAGCCAGCCCAAAGGGTCTAGCTGCAGCCTTGGGCAGCAGTCCCTTGGAGCACCTGAAATCGGTCACCGTACGTTACTCTGCGGATGATTCTCCCATCGCATCCTGGCCTGACCCAAACCTTGACAGCAGCACCAGCAACCTTCCTGAAGTGAAACACTCGCCCACCAGCCCCCGGGAGCCGTTCTTCAAGCCTTCCTCCCCAGGCATGCAAAGCCCCAGGCTCCCCACTTCTCCGAAGCAGCTGGACAACATCCCCCTCAAAGAAGAGCAAGAAGCTCTGGAGAAGTCAATGGGAAGTCCACAGAGTTTGTCCAGTGCTGAGGAAGAAGAGGAGGAGGAGGAAGATGACAATAATGATTCCCCTTCTTCCAATTCCTCCCGGCCCCTGAAAGTGCGGATTAAAACCATCAAGACATCTTGTGGCAGCATCACCAGGACGGTGACCAGGGTCTCCTCAGATTCAGAGCCAGGTTCCACCAAGGGGCCTGCTGAGCAGAGCTCTCAAGAGACCTCCCTTGAGGGTGTTGGCTATCCAGCTGCAGCAGAGAAAGAAGATGGAATTGGGCTGGATGTGCCCAAAGAGAAGTTGGAGCTCTCCAGTCCCCTGAAAACCGTCGAGGGGCCAAAAATTGTCAGTGTTCAGCTTGGCAATGGCACAAAGATCAAAGGCACTGTCCTGCCAGTCTCCACCATCCAGAATGCTAGCAGCGCCATGCTGATCGCTGCCAGTGTGGCTCAGCAAAAATCTGTGGTACTGCCGGCCAAGACGGGCAAAGCTGTGGCCAAGAACATCATCAATCTGGTGCCGCAGACCCTTCCCAAAGCTGACACCAGGACCAACATCAGCACAGTGACACAGACCACCACCATCACCACCACAGCAAACCAAAAAGTCAATGGCACCACTGTGGTGATGGTGCAGCCACAGAAGCCTTCCCCAACCATTGCGGGCACAGTCATTTCCAGGAGCCAGTCCAGCCTCGTGGAAGCCTTCAACAAGATTCTCAACAGTAAAAACCTCTTGCCAACATACAAACCCAACCTGAATCCTCCGGCCGATGCGAGCCTCACCCTGCCTCCGTTTGGTTACCGCTGCCTGGAGTGTGGGGACTCCTTTGCCCTGGAGAAGAGCTTGGCTCGCCACTATGACCGGCGAAGCATGCGCATTGAGGTAACCTGCAACCACTGCACCAAGCGCCTCGTCTTCTTCAACAAGTGTAGTTTGCTCCTGCACGCCCGGGAGCACAAGGACAAAGGCCTGGTGATGCAGTGCTCCCATCTGGTCATGAGGCCTATTGCTTTGGATCAAATGATCGGACAGCCAGACATCACCCCCCTGGTCTCAGTGACCTCCTTCCCTGCTAGCAAGGTGGCCAGTGTGACTCAGGACACCTTAGCCACAGCCAACGGGGCTCAGGACCTCCCTATCCTACCTCTGAGCAGCAGCTCGGAGCAAACCAACTATAGCTGCTTCCGGTGCCTGGAGTGCAAAGAGCAGTGCAAAGACAAAGCCGGGCTGGCTGCACATTTCCAGCAGGCAGTGACCACAGGAACAACTAGCAGCACGGTATGTAGGTGGCCTTGGCCAGGATCCTGTCTCAGCTCACTGACACATAGCTCTGCAATAGGTAGTATGACCCAGTGGTGAGGGAGATGGGGTTGCTACAAGGAGAATCCTCTCCTGGCTGTCTTAGGGCTTCTCTGCATGACCCTCAGGGTGAGTCCCTTCCCTGTTTGGGTGTTTTCTGGTCTGTGTTGCAGGAAACCTGCTTGACAGAGCTGGCTTTGGGCTGGAAACCTCAGTGAAGAGTGGCAGCCCATGGCCTGTTTGCGGCAGAGGCTACCTGTGCTTTGTGGGAGGGCAGCAGGAAGTTAAAATATTAAATCCGGCCCTGGGGACTGTGGGACAGCCGTGGAGGACTCTCAAAATGTGAGCTAGGCAAGGCCTTGCTCCCCGCAACATAAAATCATGCAAGAAGGAAAACATGAGAGCCTGTTTAGTTCAGGCCTAGGAGGCGTCGGGATGGAGGTGGTTGTCAGTAGGTGTGAAAGCTGCCTTGTGGGCAGAACCATGGGAAGGAGAGAGGCAGGAGGCCTCACAGAGCCATGTCAGAGCTGTGGGTGCCTCTTCCCCCTTTGTGGGCTTGCAGCACAAATGGAGTCTGGAGAAACCAGACTGTTTTTCTCTCTCTTCAAGAGCCAACCTTGAAACCTCCGTGTGCTTCCTGCTATTACCAACACATCCTGGTTTGTTTGGGCAGACAGCATCCAGCAAACTTACAGGATTAATGCTGGAGAGAGATGATCTTTAAAAGGCAAGGCTAGAAAATCGAGATCCACAGAGGTGCCCTGTTGTCCCACATAGGCATGACAGCACCCCATTTGTCTTTCCCAACAGACAAAAGGAAAGGTGATGTTCAGACCCCCAGCTTCCTTTGCATAGCAGGAATTTGCTGTTTCCTGGTAACTGTTTACTTTGAGGCGCTGCTATAGCCAGGACACTGTTCAAATGCAGTTATTGTGGGCCTGCTGTTACAGAGGAGGGCTGCTTTCTGTTTGAAGGTCATGGAGAGCACTGAGATTCACATGCTTATATGGATTTTCCCCAGCTTTCTGTGCCTTGGGATATGTGGGACAGCGTTAGCAGATGAAACAGGCAAAAGACATTTCTGTGATGCAGCTGAACCTCCCAATCCCCTGAAAGGAACACTGTTAACTAGGATAGTCGCTATCAGACCTAAACCATTGCCAAATCCTGCATATCTGGCATGACCTCCTGCCCCCTTGGAGGAACCAACCTGGAAAAAGTTATACTGCCAGAACCTCATGTCCCATCTGCAGGTCATTGAGATGGTTTAAGGTGTTACCAGGTCATGGGAAGCATCCTTTTAAGACAGGAGGATCTCTTAGGCACATCCTCTGTCCTAATGTTGGTGTCGACGGAGGGTTTGAGCTGCAAAGCTAGGGGCTAGTGGGTTCATGGGACGTAGCAAAGTAGTCCGCGATGGGACATTTGCTCTGATCATTTCCCCTGGAGCCCTGGCTCCATTCAGGTCTGCGGCAGGAGCAGCGAGACAGGACGAAGAGGAGGTTAGCACTGGGGAAAGACACCTGTGCCTCCCCTCATGCACCTGCTGCCTGTGAATACAGGCAGAATAATGCTTCTAACACCTAGGGAGCCTGGGCGCAGGGAGTGCTTGAGCTTGGAAATTTGACAGCGAAGTTGCTGGCAGGGCAAAATCTATTAACAGCTTTCGCCTAGTCACGGTAACATTGTCTCCTTACCCGTGAGACAGACTCCTCCCTAAACCAACACCGCCTACAAACAGCTTTTCTTCCTCCTGTTCCTTGAAAAAAGACCCAGAAACTTTCCTCAGCACAGTTAGGGATGGGGATAGCTGAAGCTGTGAGCTGTAAACATTGCTTCCCCTGCATAAGAAGCCTTGTGCTGTTTACCCTGGAGGGGCCTGTTGCGGCCACCTTCCTCCGGCGTTGGGCTTCACTCCCTTGCAGTGCCTGGGGGGTCTGGGCCCAGGGCAGAGGTTGCCCAATGCTGTGACGATGCCTTTCTCCTCCTCCTCCTTGTCTGTTACCCCTTCACATCTACTGAGCTCTGAAATGCCTCTGTATCCCTGCAGCTGGACCCTTCCCCACCATCAGCCACCTTTTGGCCGCTCTCCCTTCCCTAAGTGTCTTCCTGTCCCTGCTCTGCCTCCCGGGCTGTCTATAACTGGCTTTAGCTGCTGCATCTTGTCTGATCCCTCGCTTCCTGCTGTTCCCCACTGCTGGAATCACCCTTGGCCTCTCTTGGCAGCACTTTGAACCCAAGTCTTGATAAGACTTAGGGGGGAGAGGTGGCAGGAGCTTGGACAGCTTGCCTCATGCAGTGGCTGGCTCTAGACAGCGTTATGCCACCCCTGCTTTGGTTGTGGGTGCTTTCCAAGCGCAGGACAGTGTTTCAGGGAGCTGCTGGCACTGTGAACAATGAATGCAGGCCTCTGAAGGTGGCTTGGCTTCTTGAAAAAAAATTCTCCCTTCCAGCTTCGGCTCCTTGGTAGCTCCTGGCCCACCTTAGCACCTCCCTGTGCTGCAGGATCCATGCTTGGCCCCCAAAGAGGTGGCTGCAGGATCCAAGTCTGGCCTTTCCCGTGTCCCTCCTCCAAGCCAAGCGCTTGCAGCGCCTATGTGGGCACCATCTGGCTGCTCCCACTGGCTCTGCTTTTGTCCCCAGCTGTAAAACCCTCACTATATTTATAGACCAGCTCCCTTCCTTGCTTGCCCCACCCTTGTTCTGGTTATTGCTCGAATCTGTCAGTGCAGCTCCTATTCGAGCCCGTGTCTTCAGCTTCTCCCCTCAACTTCATGTCTGTATCCTATCTAATGCGGAGGTGGAAGCAGTTTTGAAAGGTTTTTGGGAAGATGGATTGAATAAGCCCCCTACTGCCTCTGCTAAAACTCCCTTGTAAAGTGGTCGCTGGTCCCTGGCCAACCTTGGCAATGTGGCATCTGGGATCCAGCTGTGCTGAAAAGCCTGGAAAAGGCACCTTGTCTGTACACGAAGTGCCCCGATCATCACCCAGCAAACTGGTGATTATTGGTGCAAGTGGCTGTCTCCTAAAATGTGCCCTGCAGACGAGTGGGCTGTGCCCAGTGCCCCCCAAGCATGGCCTGAGCCTTCCCCTGTCACCTTGGAGGCAGGTGAATTTGGGCTGTTTGGAGTGTTGTAGGTTAGCCTGCCTGTTCAACAGCCCAACTTGCCTTGAAAAAGGCTTAAAAACCATGCTCTGTGAGCATGGGTGCATGCCAGGCTGTAACTCTCAATTCCCTTCTTCCCCCAAGGTTTGTACAACGTGTCCCATGATCATGTCCAACCGCTGCAGCTTCAACGCCCATCAGCGGATGCACAAGAACCGGCCTCCCCACGTCTGCCCCGAGTGCGGTGGGAACTTCCTGCTAGCAAACTTTGAGACCCACCTGAAGGAGGCTTGCCTGCACTTCTCCCGGCGAGTGGGCTACAGGTAGGACAGGCATTCAGGTCCTGCCTGAGGCAGAGGGAACCAGGAGAGATGCCCAAGAGAAAAGGGCAGAAGGTCCAAATCTGACGCAGGCTTCCATGTTAGACATTTAGCAGAAGAGGCAGAAATCTGCGTTCCTTCTCCCTGGTGGTGTGAAGTGCAGAGCTGAGGATGAATTTTCTGCTTTGCCCCTCTTCTCTGGCTCTCTTCCCTTTAATCCCTGAGGAATTTTCCTACTGCTGGGGCCTCCTGGCCACTGGTTTGAATTCAGTTGTGGGTGGCAGCATCAGATCCCTACAACCTCTTCCTGATGAGCTGCCTTGGCCCTGGCTCCACCAGAGATTGGCAGGACTGGTTGCTCCAGACTCGAGTCCTCCAAAGCCCAGAAGTGGTTTGGATTGTGAGTCTGTGGGGGCAGAGACTCTTCCCAAATCCTGTGTCCCCTGTCCTGCCCCTAGGTGTCCCCAAAGTCCTGCCCCCTGCAACGGATATGGCCCTCATGCTCTGCTGTGCTTCTCTGTTAATACTTAGGCAGTGGCTCACACTGCTTGTAGTGACATGGACACTAAAGGCCAGAGCTGTGGCCAGGAGAGGGGCAGGGGGAAGCAGCAGACTGGAAAGAGCAGCGCCCGACTTTGCCCGACTTTCTTTGGCAAATGCGGGGAATTCCAGCCAGACATTTACTGGTGACTCAGTAGCTGCTCTGAGCTCTGCCAGGGCTGTGCCAGCACATAGCCTGGCAGGGATGTAATTGCTCAGTGAGCTGCTGGCAGAGGGCGAGTTCACCAGTGCTGTTCTGCCCCCCTGATCCTGCACCCCTTGCCTTGTGCTCTCCTTCCTTGCCAGGTGTCCCAGCTGCGCTGTGGTGTTCGGCGGGGTGAACTCCATCAAGTCCCACATCCAGACCTCCCACTGCGAGGTGTTTCACAAGTGCCCCATCTGCCCCATGGCATTCAAGTCAGCTCCCAGTGCCCACGCGCACGTCTACACGCAGCACCCCGGCTTCAGCAACCAGCAGTCCAAGTAAGTGGTCCATGTCCCCTGTGAGCTGAGGGTACAGACAGAGTTCACCAGGAGAACTGGGAGCAAATCGGGTGGGTGGGAAGTGTGTGGGGGGGGGGATGCTCAGCACCAGCACGAAAGCTGCATCCGTCTCCTTTGTACCTTCCCATCGCTTGGCAGGGGTCAGACTATGCCTGGGGCTGCTCTTAACACCCTTGCCTCCAAGGGTTTCTTGATCCAAACCCAGGTTGTGCTGACTGCTGTGTTTTTTCTTCCCTCCTCTGGCAGGATGATTTACAAGTGTGCCATGTGTGACACGGTGTTCACCCACAAGCCCCTGCTCTCCTCCCACTTTGACCAGCATCTGCTCAACCAGCGGGTCAGCGTCTTCAAGTGCCCAGACTGCCCGCTGCTCTTTGCCCAGAAACGTACCATGTTGGAGCACCTCAAGGTATTGCTGTGGCCAGGCTCAACGCTCTTTTTGCACAACCCACTGGTCCATCTTAGTGCCCTGTTTCACCCCTGATGAATGTGATGCCTTGGGCTTTTGGGGAATCCCTCGGCCCCCCTGGCTGTCAGGGATGAATGGGGGAGATTGCACTGTGGTGGTTCTGCCCTGACTGCTGCTGGAGATGGGGTCCTGTGGTGTTAGGGGATCCCCGCTCCCACCTTTGTGACAGAGTGGGGCTTGAGGGACGAAACTGGAGCCTGTAACAAGCTCTGTGGGAGCATTCCTTTACCAGGGATATTTCTGAATCTGGATTATGGCTCGTCACTGACAGCAGGGCCCTGCGCTCTGCTGGAGGCACTCAGATGCTGAGATCTGATCCCTTGTCACCTCCATATCCCTCTCTCAAAGGCTAAGGGAATGGGAGTCTCTCTGTGTGACTGAGGCCTGGGGATGGGCAGGCCCTGAGCTGAAAAGTCCCAGCCCCAAGCAACCGCCAACGCGCTTGTCTTCACTTTCCAGAACACTCATCAGCCCCAGAAGCCGAAGGAAGACCTGGTGAAGAAAGCGGCCGTCCTGCTCACTCCAAAGCAGGAGCCTGTCGAAACCCCTGTGTCCAAGATTTCGGAGGAGTCATCGTCCTCCACAGAGGAGGATGAACCCCCCAGCTCCCCGGAGCTGCGCAAGACGAAGCGAAGCCGCTTCCAGCGCAAGACGGACACTGTCAGCAAGTCAAAGGGCAGCGGGTGGACATGTGGCGTTTGCCACTCCTGGTTCCCGGAGCGTGATGAATACGTCTCCCACATGAAGAAGGATCACGGCAAGGTGAGGAGAAGGCTGGGATGACGATTCCAGCTCTGCCAAACTCTCAGGAACATGGGAAGGGAATACTTATGGCACAGAGCAGCAGGGCAGGATGCCTGTGTGCTGGGGTGGGAGCAGTATGCCTTAATCTGGCTGTTACCTCTCCCCCACTATGAACTTAGTCAAGGGCCTGCCAGCGTATTGAGGATTTAGGCTGCAGGGAGCAGGGATGTTACCTGTTCTGGTGAACAGCAAAGGCTGTCTCCTTGATACTCATCGAGGAGAGGAAATCTGAGGCTTTGCTGAATTTCCACATCCTTTCTGGAGCAGCCAGCTTCTCCACTCTAGTGGAAAGCCCTACTCCCCAGCCTCTTGGCTGCCTGTGCAGCACCCAACTGCCTCTCTGTTTCTTGCAGTCAGTGAAGAAGTTCCCATGCCGCCTGTGCGAGCGTTCGTTCTGCTCTGCTCCCAGTCTCCGGAGACACGTGCGAGTGAATCATGAAGGGATCAAGCGCGTCTATCCCTGCCGGTACCCACACCACCTTCTGGGTTTGGCTGGGAAAAGGGGATCTCGTTTATTAGGGATGACTTTGCTTTCCCTCAGCCAGGCTGTTGGGGGGAGGATCAAGGGGTAGATGATGTGTCACAATGGGGAGGGGCAGAACTCCTGGGTCCCCTCTGCAAAGAGAGATTTAACTAGTGTCTTGGAAGGTAGGAGGGAAGGGAGATATCAGGAAGAAGGGTTTTATGTCCCATAGAGGAGGATGGATGAGCACGCTTGCAGTTAGAACGGGAAATTAGGGGTCAGGATGCCAGAGCCAACTTTCCTAGGGGAGCCAGGGCTCGATGGCTGCGCAGGCTGGATGGAGCAGGCCTGGGGCTTGGCTCTCCAACCCACAGAGCATTGCTTCACCACCTTGCCGCTCTGGCCCTGCAGGTACTGCACAGAAGGCAAACGGACCTTCAGCAGCCGGCTCATCCTGGAGAAACACATCCAGGTGCGACATGGGATCAAAGTGACCGACCAGACAAAGAGCCAGGAGGTTGTTATTGCCCGGATAGGGACCGGCACCACGCAGGTATGAGCCTCTCTGGTCCTTTGCGATGCTTGTGAGGGAGATGTCTGCAAGCTGGAGCTTTGTGGAGGTTTCAGGCAGGGTTGAAGACATCCCTGTGAGCCCTGATCCTGGTTTGCTGTTGCCTCCATGTGTCCTGCAGTGTCTGGGACTGGCAGCTCTCTCCCGCTGTGAGGCCCAGCACCCACTGGATGGGTGCAGGCCCTGTTCCAGGCATAACTTGCTTAGCTCCTGCCTGTCCCTGCCAGCTTAGTGAGGGAGGGTGACTGGGGTTGAATTTGGCTGGATCGGTTTCACTATATGCTAGGCAAAGATGCAAAACTTGCATCGTCTTCTTGGGGTGGCCCCAGAGCTCTCCCCAGGCTGCAAGGGGCAAAGGGCCTGACATGAGGGACACAGGCAAGTCAAAGGCAACTTGTAGGAGCCCCTTGGCGGAGGGGGTCATAGCCCTTGGGGCTGGCCAAGACCTGGGAATTTGCCCCGTTCAGCTTTTAACAGAGGAAATACCATCTGTAGGAGCCTGTTGAGAAATTTCCAAGCAGCTTGGGGTTCTGCCACCTCTGGATGCCAGGAGCTGCTTGAATCAGGCACCAGTTAAACTTTTCCAAACCTTTTCCATAGGTGTCCAGCCGGAAGCGGAAGCTGTCCTCCGATGAGGGTGACTCGTGCAGCGAAGAGCCTGACAGCACCACCCCTCCCTCCAAAAACCCCAAGGGTGACCGCAAGGCCCCGTTTCGGTGCCGGAAATGTGGCTACCTTGCCAGCAGCTCGGCCGATTTCCAAGAACACATCCCCCAACACCGGACTGATGAGAGTTCCCACCAGTGCCGTGAGTGCGGGCTCTGCTTCACCTCCCAGGTCTCCCTTAACCGCCACCGCTTCATCACCCACAAGAAGAAGAAGGGAGCAGGTGAGATGGAGGAGCCGGGCCCCCGGAGCCCCCTTGAGGGAGGTGCCCAGCACACAGCTGACGGCAAACTCTCCTGCAAGGTGTGTGGCCGGTGCTTTGACAGTCAGCTCAACCTCAAAACGCACTTCCGCACCCATGGCATGGCCTTCATCCGTGCCAGGCAGAATGCAAGCCCCGAGAACTAGGGCCCTGGCAGAGAATGAGACGTGTATATAATCAGCACAGAGCTCTCTGCGATGAAGGCTGCTGGCACCCATGTGGGCTCCCGCTTCTTCCTTCCCTCCTCTAGGGCTGCATTTTGAGATGGGGTCAGATAAAGTAGCCATGAAGAGAGATGAAAGTCCGGCTTACACCATCCAGTTGATTCCATGTGCCAGGCTCACTGGATCTGCTTGTCTGACATCCCCACTAAACTGGTTACTCGGCCCACCCCGTTTTGTGAGCAAGAACAGGGCAAACGTGGGATTTCAGCTGCCTTATTGTACAGCAGACAAAGGGCAGAGTCCAGACTTGCTGCCTTGCCCTCGGGGAGACTGTACGTGGAGGCAAACGGTTTATTCGCTGCTCCGTCATCATGCGGAGACTCGGCCTGCCCTGCAGTCGCTCACATCTGCCAGGAGGGAAGGCGACCTCTTTCACCTGAGGACGAGGATGGGAGAATGAAACCTGCAAGCCCTGGGCTGGTGTTTGTAACCGCAAGTCACAGGCTCTTCCAGTCTTGACTTGTTACATCGCCTGGACCTCAGACCGCTGCTTGGCGGGTCTCTTCCCGAGTCTGCTCTTTCCCCAGGAACATCTCCCCTGTCCTGGGAATCGGCCCTGGCCGCATTTCACTATGCTGGGAATCCTGCTGAGGTGGCAGCACTCGTCAGGGTTCACAGCTCCTTTCTGGGAGCTTTCTGGAGCTGGTCAGGGCCTGGGGGCCCAGGGGAGAGACCTCTCCATCCCAGGACAGAGACTTCTGTGCTGACAATAGTGTCACAGCAAGATCCACCACCTTTTTTTTTCTTTCTTTTTCTTTCTTTCTTTCCTTTCCTTCCCTTTTTACTGTTGCTTATTTTGTATTTCGCTGGAGCTGCGGGGAGGACTCAAGGTTAGTCCCCAGCTTTGCAGAGAGATGTGCTGTCCTCCCAGCCCCTCCTCGATTTGGTCCCAGCTCCCGTTGATGGCCAGGTGTGCGAGGCTGCTCTCATCGCCATTACTTGCACTAACTCAAGACAGCACCAGTATTGGTATGGGCATTGCTTTGCACCCTCAGACAACTGCGCGCCAGGCCCTGACCTTCCCGCAGGGAGGAGTAAGAGGCTGGGTTTGGTCGGCCATGGGAAATGGAAGCAATAACTTGGCGACAAGATCAGTGCAAGCTGTGGTGGTGCAGCCACCCCCCCCCCCAGCAAAGCTACGAGTCTGTCTATCCTCACTGGCACGTAGGAGCTGCGCAGCTGGGGCCGGTCCCAGGGCTGGTCCCCCCACACGGAGGTGAGGAGGGAAGGGCTCTGCCGAATCCCGTTACAAACTGAAACGGTGACACGGACAGCAAGATTTCAGGTGGCTTTTCTGAAATGGAAATATTGTCACCCAACGCTGCTCCCCCCCTTCTCTCCCCAGGGTTAAGGGCTTTACTACCCTCCCCCCTCTCCCCCCCCCGGCCTGTAGAAGGACTTGGCCTTATTTGCTGCTCCTCTTCCTTGGAAATCCCCTCGGGCTGGCAGCAAGGAGATCCCAAGCACC